TCTTGGGAAATGCCGTATTCATGGAAAACCACAAAACTTTTAGGATTGTGTGTTTGATTATGCCCCCTTCTTCTTTTTTATTGTTGGTTTGTTTTTATTTCATCAAAGCTATTTATGAGCAATAGACAACATTAAAGCAATAGTTTACCCAAAAATACACATTCTGTCTAACGCTAATCTTGTTCCAAACCTGTATGAATTTCTCTCTTCCACTGAACACAAAAGAAGATATTTTGAAGATTTGTAACCAAACAGATACTGTTTGCCATTGACTTGCATATAATTTTCCCTTACTATGGAAGTCAATGGCCACCAGCTACTGTTTAGTACAAGCAGTCTTCAAAATATCCTCTTTTGTGCTCAACAGAATAAAGTCATACAGGTTTGGAGCAACTTGAGGGTTAGTAAATGATGTCAGAATTTTAATTTTTGGGTGAACTATCCTTTTAAGACATTTACCCATAACTTACATGTTCCAGGCCATTCAGAAACCTTATTTGATGCCATTTGGTCTCAATTGCCCTTCATACGGAAGTGCAACGCCACACATGCATCTGTTTAGCACCATTATCTGGATCAGGATGGCTTCATGCGATGGTTTGGACAGCCGGATTTCTGTGCACTCGCTTTTTTTTATTAATGGAGAAAATGGCAGTTTGTGTATAATTTCAAGATGCAGATAATTATAAACATAATTTTATGTTTTATGCAGAAAATGTGATTGTTGTCCATGCAAAACTCACCTACTGTTGTTGGCTGTAGCCAAAGTGTTTGTAGTCTGAGCGGTTGCTGTGTAGTTGCTGCTTACAGACCCAAAGGATTCAAAAAAGCGCACCCCAAGTCTCTATGATATTCTGCCTTAGAAAAACCTTTTATGACTAAGTGCATTTGTCATTAATGTGACCCATACAGTGTGTGATCGCATGTAATTTTGCAGTGAAGAAAGTGCGATGGTTTCGGTGCAGTCCAGTGATGTGGACTTCCTCGTTAGTGTGGGATTAATTACCGGAGGCACGGAACAATAGAGAACACGTCTGGAGACCCCGCCGGGATCAGAGAGTTCGCAGAGTCCAGGGAGCAAAAAAATCTGCTGACCCCCCGCTCTTCAGCGCTTTCTGCGAGAAGGAAAGATTCAGTACAAACCGTGCTCCCCAGAGGAGACCATTCTGCAGTCCTGAGGAAAATAAATTGCCATTCTGTTTCAATTTGAAATTGTTGATGTTATGTGAAATATCAAGATCGTGATTGCAGCGATCAGTCAGGAGAATCTTGCTGAGGGAGGAAACAAAGAGGAAAGAAAACAGAAAGATGGATGTGCTGTCTGTTGTGTGTGTAGATCTATCTATCTATCTATCTATCATCGCATGCATTAACGCGTTAACGATGACAGCCCTAATATATATATATATATATATATATATATATATTCATTCCAGAGTCAATTCAATACAGCAAAATTTCAAGGGGGAAAAAATCCTATAAAATGCCACAAACGTGTACAATACGTCCTCTTTACATGTTAAGGATTAGGCAACAGATTTACAGAGAACATAATAGAGATGATTAGAGGAACACATGCGGGAAGACTAAAAAATGGACAGATTGTGCTTCCACGAACATCTGAACGGGAGTGATAATACAGGCTTCGACATGAGAGAGTGGAATGCTGGCAAACCTTGTGAGGACCGCAGAACATTTGTCATGACATTTGGTGAATCACACACACACACACACACACATGCACATGCACAGCTTGTCTGGTGCATATTTATAGTCCCAAATTAATGCTGGCTTGCAAAATCTAAATGTTATCCTAGATTTTATATTTTCCAGACAATGTGAGCAGGATTTGGCTGTGCAGAACTTCCCGCCATGATGCTAAGGAGTACTGAGTTATTGTCCGAGCGTTGTGGCTGCTTTAAGGATTCTGGCAGGTTGCTAGGGCACTGAGTGGTTGCTAGGTGGCCTAAGTCAAAAAAATTATATTCTGGTCTCTATATTGCCTCATTCAGCATAAATCTATGAGATGAGTTTGCCCGGTTGAAAACTGTGCAAGAGCCTTAACAGTAAGTATTAGCAATAGTAATAGTGATTATTTCCTTAGCAAACACCACTAAAGAAACAAAACCCCTCTCAGAATGAGTACAACTATTCAATATGAATATGAGATCAACATGTCATGCTGCTATTATGAGAAATAACTTCACGGACAACTTAGAAAGAATAAATATTGCGAAAGGGTTTAATCAAAACATTTGAAGATTTAGGTAAACTCTACAATAAATGCTTAGAAATTGGCAAATGCATCAGTTCTTCAAGATCAGGGATCTTATCAAGCTCAAACTGACAACAGCGTGACTCCATTAGCTGAAACCCAACACTAGGCAAACCAAGACAGGCATAGACACCGTGTTTGCTCTAGCTATACGCACATATTTGTGTTACGTTATCGGTCCGCTCGCTTTTATTTGTCCTCCCCTGACCCTTGAGTGTGTGTGATGGGCATGATTAGGTCATGACAACATACAATAGCCACATTGTTCTGTTGCTTTCTTTAATTTGGACGTGTTTCACTCATCTGCTGCTCTTTTCTCCAAGTTAGTTCGCATATGACTCAAATGGGACTATTGATCTTTCTTTATAATTATAACCTTATGCATTTTTCAGAGACACCCATCATTCACGGCTTCTCAATCATAGGGCCGTCCAGAGAGCCGCCCATCTCATGCAGCTGAGATAATAACTACTTTCTGATGCATTGAGAAGAATAGATCACCACTGGGCGTCGAGAACGAAACATTTGGGTTTTTGGCGTTTATTTAGGTTGCAGACAGGAAAGCGTGTGAGTTGCAGTATTTGAGGTTTTTCGACCCCTCTCCTCATTCCGTGCCTCCTTGTTTACGACTGATCTTTAGGAAATGACTCGTGCCCCGAGAGAGTGTTTTTGTGCATGAGGGTTTCTGCCGGCATTGTTGTTATATGTCAGTCTGAGCCTCCCATTTCTGTTTCCCGCACTCGCTTCCCGCTTTACGAGCCGCTTTCTGCACGCTGCGGTCCACTTCCTGTCCGGAGTTCCCAGAGCAGTTCCATGTGAATATGAAAGGGGAAAACACACTGTATCACATGTGAATGTGTCTTGGGTCAACCGGAGATCTTGAAAGTGAAAATAAACTAAAAATAAAATCTCAAATCTCTTACATATGTTTCTACTATTTAAACTATTATTTTAGCATTTATTATTTGTTTATATACTTTTTAGTGCTGTCAAACTATTAATCGCGATTAATTGCATCCAAAATACAAGTTTTTTTTTACATAATATGTAAATATTTTTTTTGCACCCTCAGATTCCAGATTTTCAAATAGTTGTATCTCGGCCAAATATTGTCCTATCATAACAAACCATACATCAGTGGAAAGCTTATTTATTCAACTGTCAGATGATGTATGTATATTTCAAAAAAATTGACCCTTGTGACTGGTTTTCTGGTCCAGGGTCACACACACACACACACACACACACACATATATATATATATATATATATATATATATATATACATATACTGTATGTGTGTGTGCGTATA